CATCAGTTTCCTCATCTGTGAAATGAGGGAGGGAGCTATTCTAGATTGTGTCTAAGGTGCCTGCTAGGCCTAACAATCTACAATTCTTTGGTTTCTTCACCTATTTTCTCAAAGCACTGGCTCAGTCCAGTTAAAATCTAAAACTTTGACTTGCCCAAAATTGATCTAATTTATTCATTCAACAACCATCTATTGAGTAACTTCTTTGTGCAAGGAACTGTGTGAGATGCAAGAAAAAAACACAAGAAGAATAAAATGTAGTCCTTGAGTTTTGGAAACATAAATAAAATGGTAGAGATAAGTGGATAATTCCCTGGATGAAGAAATCTGATAAAAAGTTTCATAAGTGATCTTGGAAGAGGGAATACTTAGCAAAAGCCCCAAGTTTGTTGATGTAATTGCATTCTTATGGACAGCAAAATGACAACCTGATTCTTTTTTAAGTATAAGGTTGTAGGAGTGCCAGGAAAAAATGGCAAATTAATTTTAATGCCAGAAGTTAAAGGAATGCAAATAAAGATTAACAGTCCAAAGTGTTTTAAGGATGGGCTCTAAGCTATTAGATATGACTCATGAAATGGATCTATGAATGATTATAATCTGTTCCTTGGTTATATTGGGGTAATGTTCTGCTTCACAAAACACTGGTAGTCATTAAGTAAGATACTGAAAACACAATATAAAATATTATTTTGCCCTTCTATAAAAACTGCATTTATCTACTTACCTCATGGGGTGGTTGTGAAGGGTTTTATAAAGCACCTTGAAAATGATAGCTATAAATTATTCTCTTCACCTAAAACTTTGCGTGCAGTGGTAGTCACCACACCTCAAGAAAATATAATGTAGATGAAACAGGCCAAAAGGAAAGCAACTAAAATGATCAAGGGTCATGAATAAAACAAATCTGTCCTTTTACAGATAATATATCAAGGGCTACCCCATTCCCCATGGCATGGGAATATCGTTGTCTGGTTCGAAGGAAGGCAAAATAGATATCTCTAGCTTATTCTCTATCCATCCTTCTCTAAGTAAGACTTTATTCTGTTACAAGAAAGAAAGCAGGAAGGCTCTCCTCAAAGGGTACTGGGCTAGAAGGAGATTTATCTGCTCTCTTAAATGTTGTTAACCCAAAGGACATGATTTTCTTATCACTGTGTAATAACCCAGAGAGGAATGAGACATAGCTAGCTGGGCACCCTTCTTAAATGGAAATTCTAGGTGGAACTATTTACTGAAGGGGCAGGGGGTACTTTCAATGTATGAATTCTAGGCCTAGAGGGAGGCTTCATGACAAGGTGATGGGGCATGGGAGAGGAAGTCCAGTAGCCTGGAGAGGAAAAGCTAAAGTATTTATGTGAATGTAGACTGAAGATATCTGAAAATTTGAAAAACGTGGGAAGACATACGAAGTGATGCAAAGTGAAGTGAGCAGAACCAGAACACTGTACATAGTAACAGCAATACTGCACAAGGATCAATTGAGAATGACTTAGCAATACAATGATCCAAGACAATCCCAAAGGACTTAAGATGAAAAATGCTATCCACCTCCAAAAAAAGAACTGATGGAGTCTAAATGCAGATTGAAGCATACTATTTTTCATTTTCTGCATATTTTTGTGTGTTCTTTTCCTTTGGATCTATGTCTTATTTCACAACATGACTAATACGGTAATGTGTTTTGCAATGTTTGAACATGTATAACCTCTATCAAATTGCTTATCGTGTCAGGGAAGAAAGAGACAAAGGAAAGAGACAGAAAATTTGGAACTCAAAAAAAATTTTTTCTTTTGGTGAAGCAATTAGGGTTAAGTGACTTGCCCAGGATCATACAGCTAGTAAGTGTCAAGTGTCTGGTCTAAGACCGCATTTGAACTGAGGTCCTCCTGACTTCAGGGCCAGTGCTCTATCCACTGCACCATCTATCTGCCCTCTAAAATTTTTTTAAATGAATGTTAAAAATCTTCTTTACATGTAACTGATGAAAAAATAAAATATTATTTCAATTCTAAAAAAAAATTTCCAGATGAATTGTTTTATATATATACATATATATTACTTACATATATTACTTACATATATACATATATACATATATATTACATATATATACATATATATTACTTACATATATATACATGAAAAATCAAGAAAGGGTTTAGTAAATTCGTCAAAGATTGCTTTATAAGGAATTATTCAAAGAAATTAGTAATGTTTGAGGTACACCTCTCGGATTTTGAAGTTGACATCATAAGAGGAAGTTTTCAACAGAACCTTCCTTGATGTTACTGAAAGTTTCAGACTGGTATTATATTCTTATTGCTTGTCTCAAAGAGACAGATTTAGATTCTCTGTAAAGAACCTCGGAGCAAGAGCCATCCAAAAATGGAATGGGCTGTGTTGGGAGATGGCATATTTGCCTTTTATCTGGAGTTTTAGTGACCATTTTACAGGGATAATAGAGGGGATTCTTGTCCAGGGTTTAGAAGAGATCACCTCTGAAGTCACTTCCAGTTTTGAGATTCTGAAACTGCTTTCTCTGCTTTGTCTTATGGAACACTGGAGGAGATGCTGTATTAACCTCAATAACACTTCTTTTTTGTTTGAAAACTTTCGAACATTTGAATTTTCCCAATCTATTGGGTCTGAAGTAGAGGCAGCATAACAATAATGGATAGAGGGCTGGCCTCAAAGCCAAGAGGACCTGGGTTCAAATCCTGCCTCTGCCACATACTAACTGTGTGACCATGAGCAGGTCACTAACCCTCTCAGTGCTCCAGACAACTCACCTCAAGCTGTAAATTTCATGGGAGATGCTGGCCTGCATTGATAGAAAGAGTCACCTTGCCTGGGAGGTCCCTACACCAACCCCATGTGAAATGGGGACTTTATATGCTTTTATATGATTTATATGCTCTTGCTTGTTGAGTCAAGTCAAAAAGTGTTTATTAAGCACCTGCTACATGCCAGCCACTGAGCTAATCACTGGAGATACAAAAAAAAAGTAAAAATAATAAATTTTTAAAAATAAAAAAAATTTAAATCCTTACTCTCAAGGAGAGGACAAGCAAATATTTGGCCTCAAAGTACATGGATTTGAATCCTAGCTCTGCCATCCACTAGCTATTCCACTTGAAAAGGATAATCCTTACAGATCCCCTTAATGAGTTATAACTAATAACTCAAAACCCATCATTTTTAAAATAATGTCTCTGAGATTCTTTCCTGGCATAGAGGGGAAGGCACTGATTTAGAATCAAAGGTCCTAGGTTCAAAACCTTGCTTACTATTTTACCACTTGCTATCTCTGCCTAAGTCACTTAAACTTTATGGGCCTAAATTTCCTTATCTATAAAAACAAAATCTATAAAGTGGTCTAAATGATCTCTAAGGTGTCTTTCAGATATAACTCTAGTCATCTTTCTTGCCCACCACCAGCACATCTGGGTGGCACAGAGCTTATGTGCAATTTTCCAAATCTTATTGTCTTCTTTGAGGTAAAAATTACCCAAGGGTGCATTGATTAGGTACTGCTGTCAATCACCAAATCAATGATGCAGAGATGGATATCTGCAGAGTTTTATTATTAAGCACATCTGTGGGAAAAAACAGTCAGAAAGCCTAAAGCATCAGCTTCAGCAGCCTTATATAGAATGTGAATATTTAAGCAGCATAGAAAAATGGAATTTTACAGAGAGCAGGAGGGGAAGATAAGGGTATATATGTCTGGAAACAAGTAACGGAAGGCAACAGATAAGGATACCTGCCAGCTAGTCAACATAGGAACTTTGGCTTCTTTCCCAGCCTTGATTCTGCAGATGTTGTAACCCTCAAGCTTCCAAGAACAATGTCTAGAAGCTCAAAATAAACACTGAGGCAATGTCTTCTTCTTATCTTAGTGGTGACAAAAAGTCTCTCTCTTATAGTGGCCCCAAGTGGCCTGAACCAGAAAGTCACTTGCCCCACCTTAGTAATAACACAAACATAAATATTAATATACCCAATCGTGTTTCACTTATTGTAGTCCTACCTTAATTGAGATCATTCTCAATTCTCATAGAATTTGGTGGGCAGATATATGTCTTCACTTGTAAAATTGGAATAATAAGTTACACTAATTACTTCACAGAGTTGCTGTAAGGATCAAATGTATTTTGCTTTGTAATATATGCATCATAAACCATAAAATATTCGGTATTCAAATGGGTCTGTGATCTAATCAATGGGAGTATTCCAAGAGTGTTCTGGAGCCAATCCATACCAGCTCAGGATAGCTGATTGTTAAATTTTCAGTGTGAGCATTTATGCCTCAGAATTCAGAAAACACTATTGGGATTTTTGTTGTTATTGTTGAAAGTGATGGAGAAAATGTCAATAAGACAGATTACATTTAATAGTGTGTTGTGGGTACTTTTTGCGGGAAGGGTAGAGAAAAAGAGCCTGTTATTAAACATTTCATTATAGAGCATTCTCTCAAATGATGCAAATTTCAAATTTCAACTCTTCCTTTCCATCCTTTGTGCCTTTTCTCCATGTTCCTTCATAAGTTCACTAGCTAATGTAATGGGAATTTTCCTCATTTTCTCCTGGTATCGCTAGAATGCCAATGGAGCACACAGGCTGTCTGTCATTCTCAGCACATGACCAGTTTATCATCGTCCCTCATACGTGTTTTCAATTACATCATTTACACTGTTTTTCCTTAGTAATTGCTTATTTATAATGTGTTACAGCTTGCCCAAACCCTCCACATGTATACATCCCTAATCTCAGAGAAAATATATCTAAAATAATAGGTTTTGAGTTTTAGCTATAACTCATTAAGTTATGTCATGGAGATAGAGCTTTCTACAAAACTTTCCTTCATGTTACTGAGTTTCAGACTGAGGGCACAATTGGCCTTTCTTCTCTGTCTAGTATTAGCAACGGGGAAGTATACTGTAAAGCATTATTTGAATGTAAACTGTTATTATTATTATTATTATTTTCACATTTAGGTTGGAGAAACAATTGGTATTAGTGAAGAAATTATGGGCCTCACCATCTTAGCTGCTGGGACTTCTATACCTGACCTCATTACCAGTGTCATAGTGGCTCGGAAAGGACTTGGGGATATGGCAGTGTCCAGCTCTGTTGGGAGCAATATCTTTGACATCACAGTGGGGTAAGTAGAGAACTTGTGATGTTGAATTCATAGGGGAATAGCTTTGCCTCATTCTGACTTTTTCTGCAGAGATGCACTCACAGATAAAACGACAGTCTCCAAACATGAGGCTAGCTAGTCAAAAATTAAAAATGTTAGCTAAAAGTAAAGAGTGTTCACAACTGACATTTTCTGCTTTCAGTCTTGTTAGATAAATTGGGTACTAGAGTCCCCATGTGGTTTGAATATTTAAGGAAGCCTTTGGGGAAATTTCACTTACTCAAAAAAGTTACAAATTTCTACATTGGTTGTATGTTGTAGAACAAAAGGGATTTGAGTCTGTTTCAGATACTTCTGCAATTTCACTGCACTCATTTCACTCTGACCCCAGAGAAAATTCCCTTTGATACCAGTTGGAATTTGGATCATCTAAAAACTGAGACCTGTATCCAACGTGAATATCCATTTATCCTCAGAAAAAAAAAAAAGAAATGCTGTTATGACTTGAAGCTGCCATTTATATAAATATCCTCATGGAAATGTTCCATGACTATTAAAAATCAGAAAAATTATAGGTCATGTCCCATTTGCATGGCCCCTAGTTGTCATTATAACTATTTTCGGGGGCTGGAGGAAACCAGGTAGAAAAGAATAATTCTCTTCATTATCTAATTTTTCTTATCAGAAGTTAAAGTACTCTCATTTTGATAATGCTGAATTCTCCTCTAAATGCCATATCTTTGAGATTATGTCCATTTTCCTTCTTTTTTTGTGGTTCTGTTCTCCTACCACATCCTCTCCAATAGAGTCCACACGGAATTCCAATGAAGGTGCAACAGTACCTTGTCATGGTGAGGAGACCTCTCTGGGGCAGACTGTTCACATACAGGTCTAAGTTCCGCTACTCATTTTGAGTTTAGCACAGTCTGACATACAAAACAAGCTTTTGAATTAATCTCCATTTTCATTTCATAATTTAACTTCCATTTTCATATTTTTCACCAACTTTTATGGTCACTGAGAAAATTATGTCTGGGCCCTAGTCAGTCAATAAACAAGCATTTGTTAACCAGCTATTATGGGGTAAACACTGTGCTCTGCACTGGAGGTACAAAGAAAGATTAAAAGAGAGTCTCTGCTCTCAAGGAGCTCACAGTCTAATGGGGGAGACACCATGCAAAAAAAAAATGTACAAGCAAGCTATACATGAGCTCGGTTACCTATCAAAACCGCTATTCCCACAAAATTTTCCTAACTTGTACTTTCCCTTTCTAGAAACATAGCCCAAAACAGAAATCTAAATAAAGAGGTACCTCTGGACCATTTTATTCAATATCACTTAATGTTTTGAGGCTTTTTAATCCAATTTTTTTCCCCAGAAACCAATAACTCTCATCCTAGTGTAACTGGGAAAAAAGAAAAAAAAACATTGAATTTGTAGTCAGAGATCCTGGGATTAAATCCCAGCTCTGTTAAATGTATGACCTTGGGCAAGTAACTTAGGTCACTTAACCATTCTGGCCCTCATTTTCCTCCTTTGTAAAAGGAGGGATTAGACCAAATGAGGTCTACAGTTCCTTCCAAGTCTAATCTTCCATGTTCTACATTCTAAGCTTCCTTCTGATGCCAGACCCTGTGATTCTATCTTTTTACCAGCCATTTCCTGTCTACTCCTTTGGCCCTTAATGTATCATAATGTTAATTACCTTTTCTTGTTAATAAGTCATGTTTTTCCCATGTGTTCCTCCCTGAGAGCTGGTAACATTTCTAAAGCTTCTTTCTATCCCCTCACAGCACCTAGAGTAGTGACTCTCCCATAATGTGAATTTGTTCAATATAAATGAATGAATGAATAAACTTATCCCATCCTTTCCTACTACCATCCCAAGTTGCCACCAGCTCATCTAGATAGCATAAAGCTTGTGTCGACATGTCTAAATCCCATTATCCCAAGTATAAACATAAGCATTGATAATAATGATGATAGCTACTGTTTATATATCACTCTGAGGTTTGAAAAGCACTTTACTCACATTATCTCATTTGATCCTTGTAACAAGCCTTGTAAGGTAGGTGCTAATATTATCCCCATTTTACTGATGAGGAAACTGAGGTTGAGAGATGTTAAGTGATTTGCCCCAAATCAAACAGCTAGTAAGTGTCTGAGGCTGGATTTGAACTTAGGCCTTCCTAACTGCAGGTCCAAAATTCTATTAACGCTTTCCACCATGCAACCTAGATACATATTAAAATGTCAAACTGCTTTAAGTTTGCTGAGGTTTTGCCTTGTTTGGTATTACTCCCAATTAACATATGATTTGATGGGTGGGGAGTTTTCTGTAAGCACAAAATATTTTGTTATTTATTGTCTTATTTTTATTATTGACTAGTGGATCTATTTTTGTACCCGAAAATATGAAATATTTCGCTCACAGGAGAGAGAGAGAGAGAGAGAGAGAGAGAGAGAGAGAGAGAGAGAGAGAGAGAGAGTGTCAAAGTAAACCAATGCCCTGAAGTCTAACCCTAATGCATTTCAACTTAACTAACTAGAGTTAATTAGTCAGGAGTATGAATGTGACAGCAAGAAATAGAGAGTTCAAATCCTTTTTGAGGTAAATAAGCATAAATCTTTTTTTTAAAGTCAAGAAAAAATTTTAGATTTCCTAGTAAGATTGTATTTGCCAGATATCTTGCAAATCTAAATGAAAAGGCCCTTAAAAAGGATGGAGGAAGGAAGACTATCTATATACCCCAAGTTAGATACTGTAGAGAATAATTTCAAAGAAGGAAGAAGAAAACTAGCAGCTGAGCTACCTGGATACAGGAAACATTTTTTTTTAAAGCAATCAGCCGTAAAACCTATGGCCTCAAATGTCTATAAAATAGACATTTAGTATAGAACAGACCAGGGGTGGGCAACCTGCGGCTTAGAGGGCCACATATGCTATGGCCCTCTAGGCCACAGGTTGCCCACTCCTGACATAAAAATATAGTATAGACTATGTACATAAATTCTCCAAAATTAGGCAACATACAAGAGAAAGATCACAAAGCAAGGAGACGGATCTGACCTCATAGGTATCACTGAACTTTGATAAGATGAAATCCATTACTGGACTATGGCTCTGGATGTGTATACCTTATTCAAAAATAAAAAATAGATAGATAAGCTAAGTACACTCAACAAATAGAGAGGTAGCCATAGCTTTGTGTATTAAGAAGGTGCATTTGTGTGAGGTAATCCAGGAACTAGAGGGAGAAACAGGATGGAGAGTATTTGGTTATAGGTCAAAGAAAGGAAGAAATAGAGATGATTTTGCAATTGCAGTGTACCATAGACCACCTGGACAGAAAGAGGAAATAGATGAGGAGTTTGCGAAAGAAGTCACACGTACAAGGGTATGATATAGTAGTCATAGGGGGCTTCAGTTTCTCTCTCTCTCTCTCTCTCTCTCTCTCTCTCTCTCTCTCTCTCTCTCTCTCTCTCTCTCTCTCTCTCTCTCTCTCTCTCTCTCTCTCCCTCTCTCCCTCTCTCTCTCTCTCTCTCTCTCTCTCTCTCTCTCTCTCTCTCTCTCTCTCTCTCTCTCTCTGCCAAAGGCAGAACAGCTACTATCTTTTTATTTGCTTTAATGACCATTTCATCCTTCAAAAGGTAGAGGAACTAACAAGAAGAAATTCTATTCTATATCTGATTCTGAGGTAGAAAAAGGTATGATCTCTGCCTTCTGGGGAAGTGACCTGCTCCATGCTAATGTTTGTGAGAAAGGAGAGGGACCCTGGGCATTCATCTTAGACTTGTGGAAAGCAAATTTCAAATAGTTCAGAGGAAAAATAGGTAGGATTCCATGGACTAAAATGCTTGAGGACTAAAATCCCAGGCCAGGGGGGATGATAGATGCTCAGAAATTAAAATTTAAAGACACAAAGGAAAACAACTCCAGCAAAAAAGGGGAAAATGAGATTTGTCTTAAGAAACTTATGGAGGTAAACAGGGAATTCATAAACCAACTTAGACTTAAAAAAGAAATGAATAGAAGGTAGAACAAGGGATGAATATAAGATCATTGTTACATATAATGGGCATCTAGGTAGCACAGTGTATAGAGTGCCAGGCCTAGAATCAGGAAGACCTGAGTTCAAATTTGGACTTAGACACTTAAAAGCTGTGTGGCACTTGTCAAGCCATTTAACTCTGTTTGCCTCAGTTTCCCCATCTGTAAAGTGAGTTGGAGAAGGAAATGGCAAAGCACTTTAATATCTTTGCCAAGAAAACCCCAAATGGGGTCACAAAGAATCAGACACAATTGAAACAATGGCATTGTTATATTAAAATGTTGTCAGGAATGCTGAAGCTCAGAATGAGCTGAGTCTGGTAAAAACATCAATAAAGGGGAATTTTAGCTATCTTGGGAGAAAACGGAGCCACAAAAACGGGACAAGATCTTTATTTAGGGTGGATGGGATCATGATAACTTACAACAAAGAGAAAGTATGACTGCTCAATTACTGTTTCTTTTTGTTTTCTATGTAAAGAAAAATAACCTCTAAACTAGAAATGACAGAACCAAAATGACTTACAGGTAGTTGATACTCAAGATAAATAAGTGGATAGTTGAAATGAGCCCCCAGCTGCTTTTAATGAATTCCAGGTGCCCAGCCCAGATGAAAAGAGCTGGATCCTGAGAGAAATGGGGAATGTGATTGCTCAGCCACTGTCAGTGATATTTGAAAGATCATGCAAAATGGGTGAAGTACCACGGGATTGGAGAAGGGGAAATGTACCAATTTTCAACACAAAAAAAAAAAAGAAGAAAGAGAATAGAGTCTGCAAACTATAGGCCAATTGATTTTGATTGCTAGGAAAATTCTAGAGTGGATCATTAAAGAGATGGTTTGGCAAATATCTAGACAGAGAACCAACTATTACAAAGGGCCAGCATGGCCTCAGTAAAATCAGGTCATTCCAGACTAATGTAATTTCATTTTCTGATAGGTTTACTAAACTAATAGATAGCTGGGAATTGCATGAATATAATTTATCTAGATTTTAGCAAAACTTTAATAAAGTATGTCATACTCTTCTTGCAGAGAAAATGGAGAAATATGGATTAGATGATAACAAACCAGATGGATTCAGTTCTTATTGGTGGCCAGACTCAGAGTAGTCATTAATTGTTTGATGTCAATGGTAGGTCTCTAGTACAGTACCCAGGGACCTTAGCTTGCCCTGTAGAGTTTAATATGCTTTATCAATGATTTGGATAACAAATGGCAGGCTCATCAAATGTGCAAGTGACTCAAAGTCAGGAGGGATAGGTAACACAGAGAATGACAAGTCAGGATCCAAAAGCATCTTGAAAAGTGTTGGGACAAACTCAAATAGATATGCAGGCCATGTGTTGATTTAGAAAACCACAAATTAGCATTATCTATGTTGTATTTATATATGTTTTATTAAGTATTTCTCGCTTACGTTTTAACCCAGCTTAGCCCTGGGGTTTGGGGGACCCCTTCGCAGCAGCAGGATATGAATTTGATACCACCAGGCTAGAGCACTGCACTGAATCTATTAAGATGAACTTTAAAAAGGGGCAGCTAGGTGGTGAAGTGGATAAAGCTCCAGCCTTGGAGTCAGGAGGACCTGAGTTCAAAACCACCCTTAGACACTTAACACTTACCGGCTGTGTGACCTAAGTCACTTAACCCCAATTGCCTCACCAAAGAAAAAAGAAAAAAAAAGATGAACTTAAATAGGGATAAATGTAAAGTCTTGAACTTGGGTACCAAAAAAAAAGTCATTTTCACAGGTATAAAACAGGGATAGACCGCAAATGGGCTAAAAAAAATCTGAGGGTTTTAGTGGAAAACTCAATATGCTTCAGCAGTGTTATAGGGCAGCTAGAAAAGCTGATGTGATTTGGGGCTACATGAAGAGGGGCATAGCTGCCAGCAATAGGAAGGTGCGGTAGCAGTCCTGCTACCCACTATCCTCATCAGACCTCATTTGGAATATTCTGCTCATTTCTGCCCATCACATTTTAAGACGGATGTTGATAAGCTGGAGGATTTCCACAGGAGGGTATCCAAGGTGGTGTGTGAAGCCTAGAGAAGACTCAGGGGAAACATGATCACTGTCTTCAAGTATCCGAAAGGCTGACGTTGGAGGGGGCTTTAGACTTGTTCTGTTTGTCTCTATGGTACGTAATCAGGAACAACAGGAGGAAATTATAAAGAGGCCAATTTGGGGTTAATGTCAGCAAAAATTTCCCAACATTTAGGACTATCCAAAAATGGCACAGCCCACCTGGACGACCACTTGTCAGGTACAGGGGTTCCTTTCATAGGTGAGTTGGGCTACATGGCCATTGAAATCCTTTCCAAATCTCAGATTGTGTGATACCTTGAGACTCCTGCTACGCTGAGAAGAATCTCAGGGTCTAACTTAGAATCAAGTACTGGTTGGCAGATGTCATACTGAATAATATCCCATCCACAAACCTCTGTTTGGTTACATCATCTCCCAAAGAAGTGCTCAAGTTGCCTTGGATTTGGACAGCGGTAGAGAGCGGGAGGGGGGAATCTTCTAGAGTCTAGAAGATCCTCAGGAAATGAGGACCTGGTGTAGGTCAACCTCAGCTCAAATGGTCTCTTGGAGAGCCGCCTAAATTTCATGGCTGTCATATCGGTTCAAGTAACTCACTGGAACACGCAATTTAGGATAAGTACCCTACCCAGTTCCCCAAGCTGTTCCGGTTTAATAGAATATCCCTGAGGCCAGCCAAGAATCAAATCAGCCTTTGCTATGCACTCCCCCCATGTATTTCTTCACTAGAATTCACCTCACTATTAAACTTCTATTAGCTTCCATCAGCAGAATACATTTTTCATATTTTTACAGCAGCTGTTAGCTGATGTTGTTCAGTCATTTCAGTCATGTCCATCCCTCCATGATCCCATTTGAGGTTTTCTTGGCAAAGATACTGTAGTGGTTTGTCACTGCCTTCTCCAGTGTATTCATTTTGTCAGGCAATCAGAGATTAAGTGACTTCCCCAGGGTCACACAGCTGAGGCTGGATTTGAACTCAGGTCTTCAGATGATGATCAGATGATGGAGAGTGACTATTGTTTCAATCTTTGTATCCCCCTGTCAGTGCTTGAAGCAGTTTGATATATATGTAGTGGGTGTTTAATCAATATTTGGATGGATAGATGAATGGATGAAAGATGCTACTCTGAAGATTGCACATTGCTTCGCTAATAATAAGAACTCATTTATATAATGCATTAAGGTCTAGAAAGTCTTTCTTCACAACACTGTGAAGTAGGTAGTGCAAGTATCAGTATCTCTCTCTTTTACAGACAAGGACACTAAGGTAAGTGATTTGCCCATGATATTAAGGTAATAAACACTAGAGCCAAGATTTAAAACAGGTCTCCTGAGTTCAAGTCCAGAACTCTTTTTATTATGCCCTAAAGCTGCTCCAATATTTTCTCCTTTCACCCATCTCCTTCCACTCTGATGGTGCTTAGTGTGCCAGGTTGGACTGCAATGCTGCCTTAGCATCCTGATGTGTTGAGAAATTTACTTCTCAGAAAAAAAGGAGAGAGTGAAATTTACTTCACACTGGCTTCACTCCCTGACACGAATAGCTTTCGTGGGGACGGGACTGGTTCAATGTTTTCTCAACCATGTTTCTGTCTCTCCCAAGCCCTACTCCAGTCACAAACTTGGAAGTAAGTATTCATAAGGACTGTTCATTGTGACATCATCTCTTTACATTCCTACAATCACATCAAAACTTAAATTTAGAAAATATAGCTAAGTTCAAATGAAATTCATAAATCATTTTCTGCTATGATTGAGAATAAATGCATTCCTTATCTATGGAATTTTTTCCTTTGGATATCCCCCCAAAAAAATTGTCTTCCAATCAAAAAGGAACAAATTCGTTTCCTTCCCTGACTTTCAATTCATTTCCAGCATAGTAAACCAAAAAAGACATACCCTTCTAATGAGTTTATGAGATTCTTCATTTCTTTTGAGAGTCTTTCAAAACACATTTGATCACTACTTGTCTCCCTCCCTCCCTCCCCTCTTGTCTCTGCTTCTGTTTCCTCACAGACTCCCACTGCCCTGGCTTTTATATTCTGCTATTCACAGATTCAAACCAGTGACAGTCAGCAGCAATGGTCTCTTCTGTGCTATCGTTCTCCTCTTCATCATGCTACTCTTCGTCATCATCTCCATCGCTCTCTGCAAATGGAGGATGAACAAAATCCTGGGATTTACCATGTTTGGCCTGTACTTTGGATTCCTGGTGGTCAGTGTCCTCTTGGAGGACAGAATCATCATGTGCCCCGTCTCCATATAGCTGGAAAAGCCATTTCTTAAATAAATAATTGAGACAGCAACAGATGGTCCCCAATCCCTATCCTCTCTCAGCCTGGGTCCTCTAAACCCCCTGAAGAAGAGGCAGCTGGCACATAGCCCTATATTTTTGTAAAGCTTATCTCCTTAGCTTAAGGAGGGATGGATTCCAAGTTCACTTCATGTGCTGCTGCCTCTGTCACTGACTGTCACAGTCACACAGAAGAGACAAGGGCAGTCATTTTGTGGCTTTTCTCTACTCACCACTGACAGGTCGTACTCCTCGCTGGTCGGAGGTACATAAAGCTATAACAACGTGAGCTATAACGTCAGTTATATGTATACATATATACATATATATACATATACAAACTACCAGTTTCTATGTATTGCACTCTTTCCATACATATATTAACATATGCTTATACACACATGAAGAAAGAAGAAATATATATACATATAAATATGTATCATTTCAGGGATAGCTCTAGTATCTAGTATTTGAGGAGGGGTACCAACTTTTGGTCTGGCCATTTTGGAAAGTGTCATCTAGCAGAATTAGGGTTGGACAAGGGAAGGGTTGCATTCAGCAACATTCTTCCCTGGAACCAACACTCAGGTTAGGCTTGTACAGACTCTTGAAATGGAAAAGTTTTGAGAAACCATTAGAATCATTTAGTAGAGAGAACAAGTGTTGTATTTCATAAAGACTGAACCACCCTGTAGGAGCCCTCAAATGCTCTTACAAACTGGACTGAGAAGCCAGAACAGCCAGTCTGTATGTGTAGTGACAGCTTGGAACCCACAAGGTTCCTCAGGCTACTTAGCTATAAGACCCAAACTGACATTTTGGAGAGGGGAATAAAAGGAAGGTTCTCCTCCTATCACTCCAGCATGCAAGTAGACTATATGACTGCTAAATTAATTAGCTTTATTCCTAAAACAGCAAGACTATATAAACTATACCCCTGTCATTCTAATGCTCTTGCCATCATTATCATCATGAAAAGCAAAAAAGATATTTGAGCTGTGATTGTTATCTGCATTACTTTTCCAGTAACATCAGATCCCTACCTAGTTTGAAAAAGTTTAGCTTTATGGAATGGATTACCATCCTGAGAGAAGAACTCTTTGGGCTTTGGTTCTTTTGGGAACCCTTTCAGAGTGATGATAGATGACCTTAGTGCCCAGAAAAGTCATTAGGCCTATCATAGAGGTGTAGTATCAGGAGATAAATGCAGGTTAGGGCTAGGCTATGCAGAGATGCTTGAGAAAATAGAGTTGAAGCTAAGCATTCTATAGTGAGGTTTCCTTCTGACCTCTGAGTTACTCCTGTGCTGAGCCAAATGTAGGGCTTGTTGCAGATCAGTATTTGGTTAAAGGTCATGCATGTCACTTCATTTTCCACCATCAGAGTAGCCTGCAGGTATATTGCTGGCATGTACCCTGCTTGTAGGGGAGATAGATTGCTAAGGGCCACACATGACAAATTTTCCATGCTGTTTTCAGAGCTGACTTCGATGAGGCTCTTGCCACATGGATTTTTCTCAATGTCTCAAGGGCAATCCATATTTCATTCAGTACTCTCCATCTCTAATTTGTTTCTTGTGTGATTCTCCATCTCTATATAGGAGCAGAGAGGAAAGCTGACCCTCTCCCCTCCACCACCACCCCCCCCAAACAAAAAGACAATTGGCAAACAAGAAAAGCAAGTGTTTAATTTCTTCACAATTGTAATTGCAACAAAAGAAATAAAAAAATATGAATTCAGGGTGCCCCAATATTCTTTATTCATCCCACTGGGCCTCTCTGTTGATATATATCATGCGATATATCATGTGGCATGTCACACAATTGGGGAATTGCATACCCCTTGGGCTTCATTATGTTGTGTCATTGGTATCATCAGTTATTTTAATATTGGCGGGTATGGAAATGCATGTGCATGATCATAGAGAGAGACTATATAAGGCCTACTGATAAGAAAGAGGAGAGGAGGGGGCAGGTAGGTGGTGCAGTGGATAGAGCACCGGCCCTAGATTCAGGATGACCCGAGTTCAAATCCAACCTCAGACACATAACACTTACTAGCTCTGTGACCCTGAGCAAGTCACTTAACCCCATTGCCTACCCAAAAAAGAAAAGAAAAGAAAAAGAAAAAAAAAGAAAGAGGAGAGGAGGGCCACCAATTCCAAATCAGTCAGGACTCCATAGTAATTGCAGAGTATCCAGCCCCTCATTGACAGATGGCTCCCGACAAAACTATTACAGACGCGCACACACACACACAATCACACTATCACACTCCTAAATGGGGATTCCTACTACAAAGATAAGGAATAAAATAAAAACTACAGACAAGTAAACAGAGCCCGCCACATTAGCTAGCTTTTAAATGCTGTCTCCAGTCCTACCATCCTACCATTTTTACCTTCTTTTGTAAGCGTGCCTTTACAAGGTGTGTAATAGTAGAATATACCATATGGTTTAAAAAGACTGGGACTTCAACTCCACCAGGGAAGTTATATTTTTCCAGGCTAAGAGGAATATACCCACTACAGACCCAGGACCACAATTCCCTACAAAGTTTCCATCTAATGAGAGTTAGCAAGCTGAAGTAAATAGAGAACCAGTATCAGAGTCAATGAAACCTAGATTCAGTTTCTTTCTGTAATGTATGCTGGTTCTGTGACCATGTGAAAATCATGTGTTTTCTCAAAACCCCTTGGCAATTCTCTATGACCATAAATCACAGAACAGTTACTAACCTACATTCGTCAAAGGCCAAGTGTTTCCACACCAATAAGGCAGCCAGGTGGCCTAATGGAAAGAGAACTGAGGAAGACCTAAGTTTGAATCTACTCTGAGATACTTCCTAGCTGTGTGACCCAAAGCAATTCCCTTAGCTTTCCTCAGCCTCATTTTCCTCATCTGTATAATTAAAGAATTGGATTCTATGGCCCATAAGGTCCCTTCTAGCTCTAAATCTATAATCGTACAAAGTCACACGTCTGTGTGAAACAGGCACACACGCACAGGTGTGTGAACTCCCAAAATAAATCATTTATAGCCGAATAAGGCAAAGGAGAGCATGCAGAGGGAAGGATGATCATCCAGACATTTGACTTAATCAGTGGAACTCCCCCTGTGGAGACACCCTCCACTAATTTGGGTCACCAACTTGTTTGTAATTTGGTCTTGGAGACTGACCTGGAGCACTTAGAGATTAAGTTACTTCCCTATGAACACAAAGCTAGTATATGTTCCAGACAGGTGTTGAATTTATAACATCCTGCCCCTTCCTTATGTTCTATCCACTATGCCACACTGTGTCCATATATTTTGGGGTTCATATGTAAATGTATGCTCTTTCTGTATGCCACACAACTATACCCAAGCATTCTCTTCTTATTCTTTTACCCCATTCAGTTGGACCTCATTGGTGGGATTTGATTACCTCAATCTACACAGTTCAGGAAGTGTTAAATGCAATAGTGGGTTGTTTGTTGGTCTTTACCCCTTGGAATATCCATTCCCTCACAGTTTCTATTTTATTGTCTCTAATGGGAAAATCATTATTTAGATGATGGATTAATTCTCCCATGAATGGCAGCTTTCCTCCAAAGGTTACAGGAGAAATGACAATAGCTGGAATTTATATAGCATTTTAATGCTTGCAAAATACTTTATAAATATTATCTCATTTAATCCTCTCAACAATCCCGGAAAGTCTATTGTCGCCATTTTACAGATGAGGAAACTGAAACAGACAGAGGTTGCGTGATGTGCCCATGGTCACATAGCTAATAAGGGTCTGAGGCCGGATTTGAACTCAGGTCTTCCTTACTCCAAATCCAGTCCTCTCTTCACCAGCTGCCCCTCAGGCACTCCATGTTTTGGATCCCCCTTGATTACCACTACTAATTCACACAACCACCTTCTCTCATTCAAGATTATAGATTTAGAAATAGAAAAGACCTTGGAAACCAATTAGTTTGATGTCTTCATTTTTCACATAAGGAAACTGAGGCCCAGGGACATGGAGTGACTTAGCAAATGTCACAGAGGTCAGAAGCAGTAGACAGAAGGGGTACTTGAACCAACAGTCTCTGACTCCACAGCCAAGGCGCTTTCCATTGTATTACCAACTCACCATTGGAACCTAGCTCAGGCAACCGCCTATCTTTTATTTCCCTGATTTGTTCTTTTTTTCCACATTTTCTTCCTTCAGCGTAGCCCCATCTCTACACGAGCTTCCTAAAGCAATGACCTAAAGCCTTGACTTTGCTCTCTGGTTCAGGCAGAGAACCCTCATGTGTTTGCTTGCTTTACACCTCATCTTCTAAGTGTTGAAAACAGTTGGATGGGGAAAGACGACTGGTATCAAAATCAAAACAGGGTCTGAAATAAGAAGTGTAATAAGATGACAGCTAGATGCTTAGAGAGAAAAAATGAGAGCCACGAATCTGTCCTTCTTGATCTACCTACCAGCCTATGAATCTGTCTGCCTGTGAATCTTTGGATGTTTCCCATTGATTCTACAGCTTGCATAGATTCTGTAAAATACAACTAACATGCAAAATACTCTCTATACATTCACATATTCATTTCACTACCACTAATATCAGTTGTAATTGTACAGAACAGGGCCAGCAATCATCAAAAAATTTCAGAGTACAGTAGGCATGCCTATATTTTTACAGACAAGCATGTATATTTGTGTCATCTCCATCAAGTCCTCTGTTGACTAAGGAATTTAATGACCACATTATTCATCATAAGGAGAATAGCTATTCGATGACCAGCCTCAATTCCATAAAGATCCAGTTTTAGCTGGATTTCAAGTTGATTTTGTTCAATAGCCACTCCATTGGAGTTGGGGGGTGGGGTGGTATATGTTGCTACTTCAGAGACAAAAAGTGTTCTGTCATAGCAATTGAGTAGGGAACCATTTTCATAGAGAACAATACTGAGCCATCAGGTGTGTGTTTTGATATCTGGACTATTCTTGTCAAAGCAGCTGCTCATTAACTAAAGTAGAAATTGATACTAAAGTATCAATTGATTAAAAACCTGAACAGATTTAGGGAATACAAAGAAATTCTTGATTGTAAGTCTACATAAATAGATAGAATTTTAATTTCTATGCTCTAAACCTATTGCTGGCCTGTGAGCAGCTAAGGAAACTGAAGGCCCAGCTCTTCTCATGACTAAGCCAAAGAGAGCTTTGACATATTCATGAGATCCTATTTTTCAGAAATCACAAAGGAAATGATGAATGTGTTGAATAAAATATAATCATTGAACACTGGGAGTAGTTGGTATTTCATTTAGTCTGCATGCCCTGTGTGCATGAATTTCTCCTGCAAATACACAGGAGGGCCAACCATGCATGGAATAGGAGAAATCACCTGCTCAAGGTTTGGCTTATCATTCTTACTATGTGTACTGTTTTGATATAACCTGTTGTTTTCATAGGCTCAACTCAAAGGTCAAATAGTAGTAACCTCAGAGGTCATCTAGTCCATCATTATAATTTCAGGCAAGATCACTCCAAAATCAAGCCAAGCCAAGCTAGATATGTCCTTTTTCAAAAAAGACTCTCAACAAGAAAATTCTACAGCCTCTCCCAAATTCTAGGACCTGAAAAATTGCCCTTAAACCCAAGCTAAATCCTTCATGCTGCAGCCCAAGTCTGTTTGTCCATATTTTGCCCTGAGAAGTGATGAAGAATAGTGAGACAGTTTTCTGTAATTGCCCTAAGTGAATTTTATTAAAGGTCAAAATCAAATCACTCCTCAGCCTCCCTTCCTCCATGTTTAATCATCCCAGTTTCTTTAGCCTTTATTCCTGAGTCTAGATCTAAGATAAAGAAATTATGTACCCTACATAAGGCTTTAAAAATTACACACCACCACTCCCCTGCTATGGGAGCTTTCTCTATCAAGCATTCAACTTGACTCATCACAAATTACATGCCTATAAGCATTGGAGAGTAGAATGGTGGGGAGGGAGATTGAAAAATATGCTTCAGTTCAAATATTTTAAAATGACCCTCATTGCACATTAGCTGTCTACTTTGCCTAATTAGTCCTCACTCTGTCTGGACCTTTTTCTTATTTTCAGTCCCTTGATCATTTTATGGTTCTCCCTTAGACTTTTCAAAATCCTCCATGCTTCACTATTGACTCATTGTTTCAGAAAATTGCACTCGAATCCTATTTATTACTGTTATAGCAACCAGCACAGTGGGACCTTGCTCACAGAGCTGAATAAATGCCTGTGGAATTTAATTGAAGTGTTTGAATTGGATTGTTATGGAACCTCTCTAAAACAAAATTCAAAAAAAGATTGAATACGTTGGACTTCATTTGATATAGTTCAAATGGGGAAATACCAATATAAATTTGTTATGCGCAAAATATAGGAGATACTCGGTAAACATTTGTTGATTTGCTTTGCTGATTCCATGGCATTAACTCTGAGAGTAACATGGTAGCAAAGCCCAAGGGTAGTCAAAATAATAGGAATTTCATTCATTCAATTAAGATTTGCTGAGTTCCTACTAGGCTGACCATTACATACATATGAAATTGTGTAAGTCAGAGCATGTACTGAAGGAAGACTGGAACCATTTTGGGATCCCACAAGATGCTTCAGGGGCAGTTCATCTTTGCCATTTCAACAAAAATCAAGAAAACAGGGAAGACCGCTTTCATTAAATCTTGTCACTTTTTCAACATAATCTATTGTTTTCACAAATTCAACCCAAAATCAGGTAGTAGTAAACTCAGAGGTCATCTCTAATTCATCACTATAATTTCAGGGCATTAATTTCAGAGTTTGCATGATGCCCTTCTTGGCATAGGTCTGGTATGAATCAAAAGCTGATTGATGAGGATGCGGAACAGAGAACAGAAAATGGCTCCTGGGTCAACAGAGCATCAGCAAGTGGTTCTTGCATTCTGCCATATTATTATGATTTTTTAAATTAAAATTTTGTGACAAAGCTTTGCATTGACATTTCAATAAAAACTATCTATAAATGTAA